GGGGCGGGGGGGGGGGAGCGCGCAGCACCCTCCCCCTGCGCGGCTGGAGGCTCGCGCAGGGTGTGCGCCAAGCGCAGGGGTGCTCCGGGAAGCCCTCGCCTCCCCCGGTCCCTCCTCCGAAACGTTTTCCCCAGGCCCGCCCGGTCCCCGGGGCCCAAAGGAGCAGAAAGGGGTCCGGGACTTGGGACCGTTCTACCCGCGGAACCTCTTCTCCCCTCCCCCCACCCCAGGCCGCCCTCACTTCTCCCCTCCCCCCACCCCAGGCCGCCCTCACTTCTACCCGCCCCCACCCCGTGGGGCCCAGAGCTGCGATGGTCACATCACCAACTGGGCCTTGGGGGCCGGACGGGGGCCAGCAGCCGGCCGCCAAGCCACAGAGGGGTCCAGGCCGCCCGGGCCTGGCGCGCCCCCTCCCCCCACCCGTCCGCCGGGGGCCCCGCGGCGCCGCCTCCCGGAAGCCCGCGGAGAAGGCCTCACACTCGTCGCGCGGCCGCGCCACTCACGCTCTGATCGTCGTCCTCGCTGCGCACGTGGTCGGCGATGAAGCGCACGCCGTCCACCGCCGCCCGGAGCCCGCAGCCGCGCGCCGCGCCCCTCGGCGCCCCGGGGCCTTCGCGGACGCGCAGGGCGCCCGCCTCGCGCTCGCGCTCGCGCCGCCGCAGCCGCAGGCGCTGGCGGGCGCAGCGGGGGCGCGGCCGCCGCATGAGGAGCAGCGCGGGCAGCCGCTCCAGGAACACGGCCCTGACCCAGGGCGCCATGGTGTGCGTGCTGGGCGAGCGGTGGTGCACGTTGAGCACGCACACGCTGGTGACGATGGAGAAGGTGACCAGCACCATGGTGAACATGAGGTACTTGCCTATTAGCGGCACGTCCAGCGATGTGGGCGGCACGATCTTGGAGATGAGCAGCAGGAAGACGGTGAGCGCCAGCAGCACTGAGATGCACAGCGTCATCTTCTCGCCGCAGTCGGACGGCAGGTAGAAGACCAGGATGGCCAGCGAGGTGATGAGCACGCAGGGGATGATGAGGTTGATGGTGTAGAAGAGGGGCTTGCGCCGGATGATGAAGTCGTACGTGATGTCCACGTAGGTGGAGTCGTCGGGGTGCTCGTTGCGCCGGCCGGGCAGCGCCACGATGTCCCACTCGCCGCTGGGGGTGAAGTCGTCCATGCTGGCTGTGGGCGACTCGAGAACCATGTCGATCTCCGTGTGGTCGTAGGTCCAGGAGCGGAACTTGAGGGTGCAGTTCTGCTGGTCGAAGGGGAAGTGCTTGACCTCGATCTTGCAGGCGCTCTTGTAGATGGCGGGCGGCAGCCAGAAGATGCTGCCGTCGTAGGAGACCACGGCGTTGGAGTAGAAGGACACCTCGTACATGCCGTCGGCGCTGCCCGAGGAAGCGCTCGGTCAGCCGCAGCCCCCAGCGCCGAGTGCCAGGAAGACACGGGGCGGGCAGCCCAGGTCTGAGAGTCGCGGCCCAGTGGCACACAGCGCAGGACCCGGCTGAGCAAGAAGGGGCTCGGGGTGAAGTGCTGGGGGGGGAGGGCCTGTGAGGCCTCTCGGAGGCAGAGAGGGTGGGTGCGGGGGGCCGTCTGCTGCTTGGCGTGCACCCTGCAAGCTGGTTGGTGCCACAGGAGGGTGGAGAGGTTGGGGGCGCCACGGAGCCCCACGCAGTGAGGGGCACAGAGCAGGTGCGAGCGGGGCACGGGCCCGCCAGTGATGTGGGATCTTGGGGGTAAGTGGGGTTACTGTAGGAGACGGGCCGGAAGGGGGAGGAACTCGGGCCGCCAGGCGGTGCTGCAGGGAGGCCGTCAGCCCATGTTCGCGTCCCACTGCGGCTCCGAACACCCGGGGCTCCTATTTGGCTGGGAGGGGACTGGCCATGGCCCGAATCACCTCGGAGTCAGCGGGTGCCCCACCCCACAGCGCAGTGGTCTGGGCCTGTCTGGGTAGGGACTGTGTCTATGCCAGTGAGAGGTCCCTTGTGTCCCCAGCATGAGCTAATTTATTTCCCCAAGACTCCTTCCCTCCCAGAGCACTTGGTCATCTCACACACCCCCCGCCCCCCACCTTCCATTGCTCCCAGGCCACCTACTTGTTGTATAGGACCACATCCGGGAGCCAGATGTGTTTGGAAGGGAGCCGCACCTTCTTCATGTTGTCGAACTCCTCAGGTTTCCAGGTGAGCCGATAATCCTCCCATTCCTGGGAAAGGGAGTGAGAGCACTGCCAGCCGGTGCCCTTGGTGGGGCTCAAGGTCAGGACAGAGACTGGGAGGTGGGGCATCTGGCTTGAGGGGGCTTTTATTTTACTTTTTTTAATTTGTTAATGTTTTCTTTATTTCTGAGAGATACAGCGTGAGCAGGGGAGAGTCAGAGAGAGAGGGAGATACAGAATCCGAAACAGGCTCCAGGCTCTGAGCTGTCAGCACAGAGCCCAACGCGGGGCTTGAACTCATGACCTGTGAGATCATGACCTGAGCTGAAGTCGGATGGATGCTTAACCAACTGAGCCACCCAGGCGACCCTTGAGGGGGCTTTTAAAAGCCACATCGTCCTGACAGTGACTTATCTGCCCAGCAAATGTGGCTCGTAAAATACTTCCTCATTTAATATGCACATCTAAGCCAAGATATTACAATCTACATTTTACAAATAAGAAAATGGATGTCGCAGATCTTAACATGTTCAAAGTCACAGAGCTGGTGAGTGGAAGAACCAAGATTCAAATCAGTTATTTAGGATTCCAAAGTCTATACCTTTCTGCCTTTCTTGAGGGGATTACAGGAGGGAAAAGCACATGCAAAAAAAAAAAAAAAAAAAAGGAGGAAAGAAGACACCAGGGACGTGGGATGGGCAGGAAGAGCACTCACCTGGGTGAGCCAGACATTGGTGGTCATGACCTGTTCCCGCTCATGCTGCAGAGAAGAGAGAAGCTGCGGAGAAGGCCCCCCCAGCCTGCCGGCTCGGTACAAGCACCCACGGCCTTCCCACACCTCCCCACGCCTTGGGAGTTCCGGAGGAATAAGCACAAACATGAAGACTTTCTTGGCTGTTCTGACTTCAGTGGCAGTGTATGGGACCCGTACTCACCACACTAATGAGCTGGGCCAGTGACACCATGAGCTGTACTGTCACCAGCTCAGAGCCATTGGTGGCCGGGCGAATGAGCTTGTTGTACCGGGAAGGATCCAGGAGATGCTCCACTAGCCGCTCCTCCGTGTCAGTACCCCAGACTCCTGAGGGGGAGGGGCAGGGAGGAAGGAAGTAGGCAAGGAGGGCCCACCTAGCATCCCACTCTCCCTAGGCAAGTGGGACATCCAGGCCGAAACAGGAGCCTCCACCGCTCCATCCCTAAGGGCACAGCAAAATGCTTCGGTCATTCCCCTGGGGGCCCCTCATAGCGAAGCCCTTCCCTGAGGTCACTGACCAGGGAGCCCAGGGAGCCCCACACAGATGTCTCCAGCCTAAAAGCCCTTTCTTCAAGGATCGGGAAGACCTGCTCTTCCCGCAAGGTCTCAGACGGTGGTTTCAGGACTTGAGATTTCATGTTTTCATGGCTTCTCCTAAAAGATCCCTGCAGTTCAAGGAGAGTTGGGGATGGTGGTGAGAGGGAACGGCTGTTTATATCCCACCACACAGCCTTTGTCCTCGGTCGGCGCCCATCGTGTATACAAGTGACATTATGTGACTTTGGCTGTGACCCCACCCCACCCGCACCTTCAGAGGCACTGCTGGGTTGGAGTCGATGGCTGGGCCGGGCTGCCTGTGCTGGAGGTCAGAACATGTATCCAGTCCCAAGTCCCACACGCGTGGGAGCCCACCTCCCGTGCGAGACGGCGTGCAGGCGTGGAAAACTCGCTCAGTTGTGCAGTCCCTTCGCACCTGCCCCTGCACATACTCTCTCCCGCAACTCTGCACGGGTGTACCCCACCCCCTTGAGCTCCTTCCTGGCCCTCAGCCTGGCCGAGCGTCTTCCCTTCCAGCGCTTCTGTCTCACCCCACAAGAGAGTTGAGAAGTCACTGCTTGCCCCTTCCTGCCTTGCCCCTGCGGAGTGGCCAAAATGAGAAGCCCAATGTGGGGTACAGGAAATGATGGAGAGCTAAGGGAGGTTGCTAATCCAGCTGGAGTTCTTGTGAAAACGTTTCACAGCAAGTCAGGTGGCACTTCAACCGCAGCCTGTGCCCTCCTGACACCCCAGGAAGCCAGGGGAGACCCCCTTCCTCCTTCCTCCCTGCGCCCACGCCCTCCCCACCGCGGTGGCCTGCAGCTCCCTCGCTTCCTTGCGTCGCTTACTCCTTCGGGACGTCCTCCTCCCATTCGGTCCCCCAGACGCGCCCCCCCCCCGCGGACGCCCCCCAGGTCTGGAGGTCCCCCTTCCGCCCCGGAGCCCGGGAGCCCGGGGCGGTCCTCACCTGCGCGCAGCCCGAGGAGGCCGCAGCCGAGCAGCAACGCGGCGGGGCCGGGGCGCAGGGCCATGCCGCCGGCGGGGCGCTGTCCGCGGTGCTGAAGCCGCGCGGGCCGGGACGCGGGCCGGGGCGCAGGGCGGCGGGGCGGCGGGGCCGGGGTGCGGGCCGGGGCGGCGGGGCGGCGGGGCCGGGGCGCTGGGAGCCGGTGGGCGGAGGCGGTTCGGGCCGCGCTCCCCAGGGAGGCGGTTGGGACGGAGAGGGGCGGAGTCTCCGCCCCGGAGGCGGAAGCGCCGGAGCCCAGAAAGAAAGGGGGTCCCCAGGTGAGACGTGCTTCTGCCCAGGCCGCGGGTGCGCGGGGCGGAAGCGGCGGCCCGTCCGCGGCAGGCGGCTCCGGAGCCGCTCGGCGCGGGGGCGGGACTCGGGAGGGGCTCCTGCGGTGGCCGCCCTCCCCGCTCGCTCCCACGGGTGCAAACGGCCCCTCCTCCCGGGAAGGACGAGGACGCCGCGGAGCAAAGGCATTTCAGGTCCTCCGAGAAGGAGACGGGGGGCTGTGGGTCTGAACAGCCCTGCAGTCTGGAAGCAGAATCCCCTCACGAGTCCCCGTCCATGAACCCCCTCCAAGGCCACCCTCCTGCCCCCCCCCCCCCACGGGCCTCGGCTGAAGAGAAGGCGACTTTTGAGAGCGGCCCTCGGAGTCAGCCCTTCCCCCCACCGCCCGCCAGCCCAGCCCGGCTTCTGCAACACGGGGAGCTGAGGACCGAGCCCCAGGGGCCCAAGGAGAGCAAGCGTGAGGCGGAGGGCTCAGTCCTCAATGACGTCTGTGATCGGGAAAGCCCTGAGCGTTTAGTTTCTGAGCCAACAAACGGTTCCCTTTCTCCTTAGGTGGATTTTTTGCTGCTTACAACGAAAAGGTTCCTGACTATCGCAGCCGTGTCCCGCGGGCGGGCTCTGCCGTGTGCCGCCCTGCCCGCTGCTTCAGCCTGGACCACTACCCGCAGCCCCAGCTCCACCTGCTGGGGCGCCCATCAAGATTATGGCCATTCCCCACCCCACCCCCGCCCGTCCGCCACACTTCTGGCCTTTTAGACAGGGGGTCCCTGGGCCCTTTATCACCTGTCCTCAGCCACCTTCTACTTCACTTTGAACACTTGACAGAAAGGTCAGTTCTTTAAGGGAGGTGGATTTGACCGAGGACTAAGCCCAGTACCCTCCCTGCTGCAGAAGACGTCCAGTGAATGAGTCCAGCTCGGCAGCGACGGCTCTGCTGCTAGATCATGAGCCAGCACGGCGCCAGCTTCTCGCGAGGGCTCCACAAAGAAGGGGCTAGTGCAGGAACAGCATCTTCCAGTGTGTAGGGGAAACTCCTTTTTAAAAGCTAAGGGGCACCTGGGTGGCTCAGTCGGTTAAACATCCGACTCCAGCTCAGGTCTTGATCTCACGGTTCGTGGGTTTGAACCCGGCATCGGGCTCTGTGCTGACAGTTCGGAGCCTGGAGCCTGCTTTGGATTCTGTGTCTCCTCTCTCTGCTCCTCCCCTGCTCACGCTCTGTCTCTCAAAAATAAACATTTAAAAAGTCTCTTTTTAAAAAAAGTAAAATTTCAGCTAAAAGCAATTTATTTGACACGTCCTCAGTTCCTGAAATTGAAGGGCAAAAATAAGACAAGTACCAGAAAAGAAGTGGGTGGCCACAGGCCCTGTGATGCGTGTGGGAGTGGACACAGGCCGGCACCACATGCTCTGGGACACATGAACACATAAACATGGACTGATCTCCTAAGAATTAAATCTTAGAAGCGAAGAAAAGCGTAGAGAATAAAAGCCGTAAGGAAAAGAAACGTGTGCAGTCACTCCTTTTGGTGAAAGAGTCAAAGGTCGGAAAAAGGCTGACCTTCAACAATTTAGATCAACATTTGTTGGACAGTTTTTCAAGGACTGTGTGGGTCTCAGAGCCAGCTGGCAAGGAGGCCGGGCGGGGGGGGGGGGACTGCTCTGACATATGCACGAGCTGCCGGGGCCACAGAGCACGACGGATCGGCCCCCGAGAGCCTGCAGAAGTGGAGATGAGAACAGATTTGGAAGCGGAGAAAGCCAGTGAGACAGCGCGCCCGGGAGCCGCGCACACAGATGTCCTGAGTACTTGGTATTTCTCTGTTGGTGGCTGCAGGGTGACTGAGGAAGACCGTTGAGTCTTTGCTTATGGAAATCATCTACGGTGACAGATCAGAGGGTCACCTGCTTGCTTGAAGGCCCTGGCTGCTCCCCGGCGCTTTCAGGCCAGTCCACGCAGCCTGCCCACCCTGGCCTCTCTTCTCTTGTCACATTCCTCAGCTTTTGCTTCAAGATTTTGTTGTTCTGTTTTGTTTTTGAGAGAGAGAAAGAGAGAGCATGAGAGCGAGAGAGCGAGAGAGGATCCCAGCCACGTTCTGTGCCCTACACAGGGCTTGATCCCACAACGCTGGCGTCATGGTCTGAGCCGAAATCAGGAGGCAGACACTCAGCTGAGCCACCAGACACCCCGTGTTTTTATTTTTTTAATAAGAGACGGAATGCGCGGCGCGGCGCCAGCCCTCCTGTGCGGGCCGCCCGCGGGAGCACCGCCTGAAGCCGACTTGGGCCCAGCGGCCGAGAGCCGGACACCCTCCCTCCCTCGCGTCTCCCTCACACGCGCCTTCCGGGCCCGCCAGGGAGAAAGGCATTCAGGGAGCACGAAGGGCCCAGAACCACGCAGGCCGCTCGCGGATGTGCAAGGGTCAGTCCCGAGGCAAAACAGCCCGGGCAGCGCTCTCACTGCCTCTGCGGTATCGGACGTTATTTTCCTTTATTTACGATACTTTAAATTTAAAAACTATATAAAAACGATTACCAGAGTAATACATATTCATGAACACCAACTGGAAAACACAAACTAGCAAAACAAAGTACAAAATAGATTCATAATCCTACCTCCTAGAAAAAGAATCACTGTTAGCACTTTACATACAGACATAAATACCTAATATATTTGTATATTAAATATACAATATCCACACTGATATGTACATATCTATATGACAAACATCTACAGATATTATGTAAATCTCTAAATCTGTATACAGACGTTACATGTGAACCATATACAAACTGTAAGTATACCGCTATGTTTTCAGAGCGCGACACACCTACATGACCTCGCCCAGGTAAAACAGAACGTTACCAACACCCAGAGCCCCCCATTACGTCCCTCCCAGTCATTACTCCCTCCAGGGTCTCCGTAAGTCACATCGGGGGGGGGGGCGGGGGTGACTGTTCCAGAACTCGGCAGAGACCATGGGCGCACAGCACCACGAACGTGCTGAACGCCAGTGGACTGTCCACGGTAAGAAGGTTAGAGCAGTAAGTTCCAGGTTACAGGTGTTTTCCCACAATTAAAACAAGTGAAAGGAAGAAAAGTAACCCCTATTCTGACCTCTAATAGCACATGTTGACTCTGCCTGCCTGCTAAACTTAAATGGAATTGTAATCTTTCCTGTGGCTTTTTTTCTGGTTTTGTTTTTTTGGGGACTCCTGGATGCTACTGAAAGCAGTTGTCCCTCACTGAGCCCGCCGCTGCCCTGTTCTTCACTGCGAATCCACCACCACTCTCCATCCCACATGCAAATCCACCATCATGTATCCATTCCACGGTCAAGGAATTTGGGTTGTACCCAGTTTTGCGTTATTAAGAGACAAGCCTGGCACGTGGGGCGCCTGGGTGGCTCAGTCAGTTAAGCATTGAACTCTTGATTTTGGCTCAGGTCATGATCTTGTGGTTCATGGGTTCGAGCCCCGCAACGGGCTCTGTGCTGATGGAGAGGAGCCTGCTTGGGATTCTCTCTCCCTCCCTCTCTGCCCCTCCCCGACTTGTGCTCACTCTCAAAATACACTAAAAACAAAACAAAAAAACCACTGGCATGAGCATTCTTGTTCATGTTTTTGCTGTACACAAATAGGGATTTCTGTTGGGTTATTAAGTAAATCATATACATTACTTGTACTTTTTTTAAAAAGGAACACACTGTAAATCTAGACTTGTGACCTTCCTTTTGCATGTACTTTCTCAAATACCTGGTGAGTATCCTTTGATAACTGTTTTTAACAGCTGCACATATTCCATTGCAGGTAACTTTTTGTACATTTCTTTAACAACTTACAAGCGACATTACGGGACCAAAGATTTCTAAGTTTGTTGATACTTACGCAGAGGGAAGTTGGGCTCCTGTGGGCTTGATACTGTCAGGGCTGCCCGGGGGCCTCAGGCCAGACTCCAGTGGGCAACACCTCTACAATCCTGCCCACGCCGAGCCCCTCCTCGTCCTCTCCCCTCTTCTCCCTTGCCTTTCTCCTCCATCTCCTTCTAGCTTGGGACCAAGTTCTTTCTGAACGTCTCCCATTTCTATCTCAGGAACTTCTTCACATTCCTTCTTGGGAGTTAATCCTGATTAATGTCACCCTTCAAGGCTCTTAGCCTTAATTGAATCCTACCACTATGTTCATCACATTGTGTTAGTTGACTGTATCTGCCTCCAGTTTATCCCACGTGCTCCTCGGGGCGGGAGTAAGACATGCAACACAGCCCATGGGAGCAGCGGCTGCCGCGGAAGGGGCCCCCCTCTGCGCCCCTACACTTCCTGGCGGACAGATGTGTTGAGGCCGCAACGGATGCTGTGCTTCTGGGGCTCCACGCAGAAAGTCGCTCACTCTGCCCCAAACAGGTGCATCTGCTCACTCTGAGAACACGCCCTTTTGGAGAAAAAACAGAAATCCCTACAATTCATTTTTCATAGGGCAACCAGAGTGATCTTTTAACATTTTAAACCAAACTGTGCCACGCCTGGCCTCACCCCTCCCCGGGTCCCCACCGCACTCAACAAATCCGGGCAGCCTCCTGTGGCCTCCGCGGTGCAGCCCCGCCCCGACGCCGGCCTCCCTTCCCACCCTCTCCGAGCCTCCCTAGACTCAAGGTACGCTGGTCCTCCGCTTCTCCAAATCCTTAGAAGTTCTTTCCCACGTGTGCCTTCCTAAGCGCTTGTCACTCGTCAGGCCGCTAGATCT